ATGGACCCACACGTCCATGACTCCTACCCAAAAGACCCAGGTGTCCAAACCTCCAGAACCTCCCCCTCCCCAAAAGACCCCAGACCTCCCCACCCCAAAGACACCAGGCACCCAAGACCCCAGACCAAAGGACCCAGTATCTGGGCTCCCAGCCCCCCAAGCACCCACATGTCCCCAGCACCCCCAACCCCGAGGGACCCACATGTACATGCCCCTCCAAGCCAAAGCACCCAGGCACCCAGACCCCCCCCACCCCAAAAGACCCAGGGGCCATCCCCCCGCCCACCCTTGAGGGACCCAGGCGTCTGGGCGCACCGCTTGCCGTGGGGCGAGAGCTTCTGGGGGACATTGCGTTTCTTGATGAGGGTCTCGACGGCGTTGCCGTGCAGAAGCCCCCGCGGCGCCCGCGGCTTGAAGAGCCCAGGGTAGCGCTTCTCCAGTGCCTGCTCCCGCCTGCCACGGGCCACGCGTGGGCACCCCGCACCCCAGGGACACGGCGTGGGGTGGCCACGGCCTTGGGGTGGTGGCCATGGGGTGGGTAAGGGCTGGCCATGGGCTCAGGGGAGCCATGGGGTAGATACAGGGTTGGCCATGGCCATGGTGCAGATATAGGGTTGGCCATGGGGTAGATACAGGGTTGGCCATGGCCATGGGGTGGCCATGGGGTAGATACAGGGTTGGCCATGGCCATGGTGCAGATATAGGGTTGGCCATGGGGTAGATACAGGGTTGGCCATGGGGTAGATACAGGGTTGGCCATAGGGTGGCTTTGGGGTGGATATAAGATTGCCCGTGGCCATGGGGTGGTTATAGGGTTGGCCGTGGGCCATGGGCTGGCTATGGGATCGTTAGCCATGGCCAACGGGTCCTACAGGATTGACCATGGCCATTGGCTGGCTATAGGCTTGGCCGTGGCTGTGGGGTGTCCGCTCACCTGAGCAGCTCCTTCTCCTTGAGCTCCAGCTGCAGCATGAGGGCGCTGAGCTCCATGTAGAGGTTGTTGGCACGCTCCAGCTTGCGCTCGTAGTGCTCCCGAATGTCCAGTGCGTGCCTGGCACCCAAGGCACGTATGGCATCGGCACACGCACCCCACCACGCACAGGGCCAGGTCCCCAACATCCCTCCCTGTACCCCAGCACCCCCTGATAACCCCTGCCCTTGGTCCCCCATATGTCCCTGATGCCCCAGTGCCCCCAGTATCCCCAGCTGGTCCTCAGAACCCCATGTCCCCAGTGTCCCCGTGTCCCGCAGACGGGCCCCACCGGAGCTCTTCGCGCCGGCGGTTGATGAGCTCCTCCTCCAGCCGGTGCAGACACGTCCCCTCTGACTTGATCTTCTCAAAGTGCAGCTTCACCTCCTCCCGCCACTCCGCCTGCGGCACACGGGCACCAGCTACCAGGGGCACTGGACACCCTGGACACCAGTTACTGCAGGCACTGGGCACTCCAGGCACGGGGTACTGCAGGTACCAGGCACACTGGGCACTGGCTACCATGGGCACTGGGCACCACAGGTACCAGCTACTGTGGGCACTGGGTGCCCCAGGCACTGGCTACTCCAGGCACTGGCTAACACAGGTACCAGGCACCCCAGGCACTGGCTACCATGGGCACTGGGCACTCCAGGCACTGGCTACCCCAGGCTCTGGTAGCACAGGCACTGGGCACCCGGGGCACTGGCTATGGTGGGTGCCAGCCACCATGGGCATGAGATACCCCAGACACCAGGTACCCTGGGCTCTGGGATTACCTGGGTGCAGCTACTCTAGGCACTGGGATATACTGGGCCT